GAGGAGGAGGAGGAGGAGGAGGAGGAGGAGGAGGAGGAGGAAGATTATTACGTTGCAGATTCCAAAGCCCAGAATCTCCACTACTTCCCTTCACTGCCGTTTGGGTTTGGGCTACCAAGCTAAAGAAATGAGTTAACGGGTGAAGCAGCAGACGCCAGAACAAGCCCAATTCGGGTATGCGTGCCACCAGGTGGCGCGGTGGAAGTGCAGTTGCCTTTGCTCCCCCAACCCTCCCTTTCCCCTCAGCCATTCCGCTGGTAGGACGCACCTGAACCCAGCGGGGTACGCCTGGGGGAAGAGGCTAGTGGGGTCAAGGCGAAGAGTAGCCTTATTCCCAGCCCAAAGAGGCCGGGAGCGGCTTATTCGGCCAGCCGGGATCCGTGAGTGTCTAAGGATTCGCTGCTCTACCAGGCGACCCCGGGGCTGCATCACCTCGCCTCCAGCTCTGCTCTCCCCAGCGTGCAATTTATTTGGAGGCTACAAGGCGTAGAATAGAGCCAGGGAGTGCAGCCAGGAGGTGGGGATGTCCCCACCTGTCGACTGGCGGGAGAGGGGCGGATCGGGGGCGGAGCTTGTCCCTTAGGACCCACCTCCCAGTCCCGGAGCCCGGAGCGCGCGACGAGATATAAGGCAGCCGGGAAACAATGCGCCTGCAGCTCGCGCTCCCGCGCCGATCCCGGGAGCGTCCGAGCCGCCGTGCGCAGGCGAGGCGGGGAACGCGCGCGCGGGGCGCGCTCGTGAGTGCGGGCCGCGCGCTCGGTGGCGCGCATGTGTGTGTGTGCGGGCTGCCGGGCTGCCCCAAGCCGGCGGGGAGCCGGTCCGCTCCAGGTGGCGGGCGGCGGGAGCGAGGTGAGGCTGCGGGTGGCCCCGGCACGGGCGCGGATCCTGGGGGAACGGGCAGGCTGCAGGCTGTCTTCTGGACACAGCGCTTCCCCGCCCGACCTGGCCGGGCCCTGGGAGCTGCGCTCCGGGCGGCGCTGGCAAAGTTTGCTTTGAACTCGCTCCCTGTAGCCTGGTCCGCGGCGTTGTGATCGTCTTCTCTTGGCACTCTGACCCAGGGCCAGGCTTCCCGGGACGCGAGGGCAGGGCGCGGGCGGGCTGTAATTCGGTGGGTTGGGAAAGGAGGAGAGCCCCGCAGCTGCTTGTGTGGAGGGACCGGGGTTGCCTCTTTCCTCCGCCGGCACCTCAGTCAGCACGCCCCCCCTTTCCCTCCCACAGGGAGCGGACATGGACTTCGACTCGTACCAGCACTATTTCTACGACTATGACTGCGGGGAGGATTTCTACCGCTCCACGGCGCCCAGCGAGGACATCTGGAAGAAATTCGAGCTGGTGCCGTCGCCCCCCACGTCGCCGCCCTGGGGCTCTGGTCCCGGCGACGGCGACCCAGCCCCTGGGATTGGCCCCCCGGAGCCGTGGCCCGGAGGGGGCGCTGGGGACGAGGCGGAATCTCGGGGTCACTCTAAAGCTTGGGGAAGGAACTACGCTTCCATCATCCGCCGTGACTGCATGTGGAGCGGCTTCTCTGCCCGGGAAAGGCTGGAGAGAGCGGTGAGCGACCGGCTCACCCCCGGCGCGCCCCGGGGGAACCCGCCCAAGGCGCCCGCCACCCCGGACTGCACTCCCAGCCTTGAAGCCGGCAACCCGGCGCCCGCCACCCCCTGTCAGCTGGGCGAACCCAAGACTCAGGCCTGCTCTGGGTCCGAGAGCCCAAGCGACTCGGGTAAGGACCGCCCGGGGCCATCTAAGAGGGGGGCGCCCCATAGGTGACCAAAGCTCTACCACTAAGGTCAGGCACTGGCTTTTCTCAATCCTTCTCCGTGGCCTCCCCCTTTTCTGCCTGAAGCTCCCTGTATAGCCCCTAGCAGTGTCTGTCTGGCACGTGGGTGTGTTGGTAAACAGTTTGGAGAAGTGGGGAGGGAGCCAGCGTCCCTCCGATGATGATTGGAGCCCCGGGGGACAAGGGGTGACATGGTGAGGGTTGGCTCTTAGAGAGGACAATACTCGGGTTGGACTGTAGGGGATTTCTGTCCTTGGGAGGTTGGAAGGGGTCCTTTTAGAGTCACTCCAAGCTTGACGCTTTTTTTTGTTTGTTTGTTTCCCCTGATATTCTTGGAAAACTCACACTCCCCTTGGGAGAGAAGAAACTGAGGAGCTTTTTGTACAAAGCAAAGCCTTCATTCTGTTAAAAACCTAGATCTCCTGCCTGCTTTACGTTAAAATGCCAATAATGCCCTCCCCCTGCACCTCCCACTCCTTACCACTTGTGCATTTTCATCATCACCCCGTGAGACAGGGGAGAAATGAAGGTTCCCTGTTAAGGGATGGAAAAAATGAGGCTGGGAGATAGGAAATTACTAGAAATGAGGCCCAGCTTCCTGCCATCCAGCCAACTTCTTTTCCTAACCCTCCATCCCAGTCAGGCACCACTTCCTTGATGATTAGATGATCACTTATCTGAGAAGGTCTACACTGTGCCTGATGCTTTGGTCTAAGATAGAAAGGTATTCTAGTTCCTTTTCAGTATATCTGTGGGCTTCAACTATTCTCTTGCATTCAATAAATGTTCACTGGTCCTACTTTGTGCCAACCCTCTGGGCTTTGTACTGGGATCATGGCCCTAAAGCTCCACTTACTCCTCCCCCATCCTTGATGCAAGTGCAAACTTTGATGAGTGCAGACCGGAGCATCCTATGCCACCAGATTCTTATCCCAACCTCTTAGACACTTGTATCTATGAGAAATAGTGGAAAGATGCTTTTGTAGGGTATAGATTGAGGCTAGCCTGCACACCTATATAAATCAGGACAGAGAAAACTCACTGTAGCTTTTAAGAATAACTTTTATGTGAACATTTGAGAGGGAATTAGGGAATAGGGCATGGAAATTGTCATACCCTTAAGGAAGAAAATGAAGATAACAAGAAAAATTAAAAGTCACCCCCCCCCCAAAAAAAGGTCATTTTTAACCTGTATTAAGGTCATTTTTAACCTGCTTTCTTGTTACACCCAAGAG